AGAGGTTGGGTTAAAAACATGGGTGTTATCTGTTTGGTTACTGCTTGTGTGGGGATGAGGAAAATAACAAAGTAAACAATAACTTCAAAGTTTCTAGTTTGAAGAAACTAAGTAAATATGACAATATTAATTTGAAGTAAATTGCCAAGATGGGCTGTACTAAACATGACCCGCTCTCTGGAACTGGAATGAGCTCACCTTGCCTTAGAGCACTGGCCAAATAAAGGAAAGATAAGAACAGGACTGAGACTCTGCTTGGATGGGCAGTCCACAGGATTTCCAAAGCTTTAACTGTGTTGAGTAAATTGAAGACAAGTTTCAACTTTTAAGTTAAAGCCAAGACTGAAACAGGTAGTTTTACTGAAAACCATCATTTTTTTTCTTACTGATAATATTCTGTTCCTCCCATCCTGAGTCTTCCCTCCGTTCTAAGTATTTCCTCCATTGTCTTCACCATCACTCCATTTTAACACATCACTCCTACGGCCACAGCGTGGGTTTTGTCCCTCAGGACTTCACCATTTTTAACTCCAGTGACCACCATTCCTAATGACAGTTTCTACCAATCTCCCTTTCCCAAGCCTACTAATTTTCTAATGGACTTCATCAAGACTTCTAGTCTTTTTATCTGTCTTCTCATTTTCTCCCAGTATATTCAACCTCCTACTGACCTCATGCCAACCCCATGTTTCATTCCTAGAACTATTCTCACTGCATGATTATCCACCACTTTTATCCACCTATTTTGTTGTCTTGTCCTGTAAATACTGTTCAAACTATAGACTACTCTGACTCCATAATCACACTGAGGTTTGAGTATTGTGTAGGATGTGTGGCATAATGATTGATTTCCACTGATACAGCTGTGCCCAGTAATATATATTCTACTTTATAATAAAAATTGAAGATTATAAGCTGCCTGTGTTTGAACTCTTCAGGATCCTTCCTCTTTATCCCTTAGTTTCTAAGTATACTTACAAATGAAAAATTTGGAAAACTGAGTTTTATTGCTTACTATTTCAGCAGCCTTCTTTTATGATTTAAAAGAAATTCTGGTGGATTCTGTTTTTTTAAGTGAAGTGAAAAATCCTTTTTTACAAGTGTTTTTGGCTTATATTAGAAATTTGAGGACCAATGAAGCATGAAGTGATTAAAAAAAAATTTTAACACATTCTACTTGGAAAATCAGCTGCTTAGTGAGCTAGCTAACCATTCTGCCAGAATCTAGTTTGGAAAATAGTATGCACAAAAAATGTCTATGAGGAAAAAGCCATTTCAGTTTCCCACTTATTTATCATTCTGTTTGGGGTCATTTTTTCCCTCTACTGCTAAGATTGAACCTAGGGATGCTTTACCACTGAGCTACATCCCATCCTTTTTTTTTTTTTTTTTTTCTTTTTTAATTTTGAGACAGTGTCTCACTAAGTTTCTGAGGCTGACTTTGAACTTGCAATCCTCCTGCCTGCCTCAGCCTCTCTCGAATCAGTCTTTATATATAAAATGCCTGAGATTATCTTTACTACTAGGGAGTGCCTAAGGACTGTTTATTCTCCAGATGTCTCCATTTTTAATGTTACCACCCAAGGACACTAGACATCAAGACATGTGAACTCATATACAACAAAGTGGGAGAAATAATGGTGTTTATATGTTAATTGCTTAGGCCCTACATTGAACTCTATTCCCTCTGGCCACATACCAGGTGGGAAAAAGCTGGGAGTCTACTATTAAAAATATCAAATCAGATAGTTCCAGATGGGGTTTCTTCATCATTTAAAAGGCAAAATATGAGGTCACCTTTAATATCTTAAGTAGATAACGATCTTAGGATTTACTTTTGACATTAAATTTGAGGTGTTTATCTTTTACCTTGTTAGACTACGTATACTGCTAGCAGTTTTGAGGTTTTTCCTTAAAAAGAAACATTGGGGGCTGGGGTTGTGGCTCAGTGGTAGAGCGCTTGCCTAGCATGTTTGAGGCTCTGGGTTTGATTCTCAGCACCACATACAAATAAATAAAAATAAATGTCCGTTGACACCAAAAAAAAGAAAGGTGGCTGGAACTGTGGCTCAGTGGTAACACACTTGCCTTGCACGTGTGAGGCACTGGGTTCAATTCTCAGCACTACGTATAAATAAGTAAAATAAAGATCTATCAACAATTAAGGGAAAAATATTTTTAAAAAGAAAAGAAAGAAAGAAACATTGGAATTTAATACAGAGTAAACTGTTTTCCCCAAATTATCTCTCCTTGGAATGCTAATCTGAAAAGTTGACTCACTAATTGGATTTAAGTACCATAGGACTCTTTATCACATTATTTTAATCAATTCTTTGAAAAGATCAATTTTGTTGTAGCTAAATGAATATAAAAATGAAACAACTGAGGGGCTTGGGGTTGTGGCTCAGTGGTAGAGCACGCGCCTAGCACATGCAAAGACGCTGAGTTTGATCCTCAGCACCACATAAAAATAAATAAAGGTATTGTGTCCAGCTACAACTAAAAAATATATATTTTTTTAAAAAAATAAAGCAACTGAATGAGTTACATAAAGTTGTTGGCACACCTTGTTCCTTAGAATTTTAAGAACAAATACTTTATTGTATATCTGAAATGGTTCAAAGGCTTTAAATGAAATTTGTCTGGAAACAGGAAGATACAATACCTATCCAAATCTGTATTTCTGAACTTTCCTCTTATGTTGACTTTAATAATCTGATTTAGTAGCTAATGCTGGAGTTGAGGCAAGGAATGATCCCCTTTTTTTTTCTTTCTATTTATTTTCATTCGTTGTATCTCTAGCCAGACCTAGGCAGAATGTCTTTGACCACATTTCAGCTTCTTTCTGGAAGGAAACTAGTATGAAATTCAGTCCATAAGAGTAGATAAATTTAGCTTGAGTCAGCTTAAAGAAGACTGTCTGGTAATGGAAGGTCCAAGAGACCGTCAAGGGTCTTTTGCAAAGCCAAAAGGGGTAAAGTAAGAGAATCAAGATGTTTGGAACATAATAAAAAGATAGCCAGGTGGGGCAGGGCAGGTGACTTGGTAAAGCAGAACTACACTAACCAATGAGGAGAAAACTTTCCTCATATAGACATGTGAAACAGCAACAAAATTCTCATAAGGCCTGAATCATATACTCAGACATTAAGTTTACTTGTGTAAACAGATGAGGCAGCTAGTAGGTGGCAGTCACATTAAGACAGATTCAGTGACACCAGATTGCTAGTATTGGAAAAGGTTTTAAACAGTAAACTGAAACCTCTTTGTTCTTTCAGGTCTTAGAAGAGCCTTATCTTAGTTCACCAACTACTTTTGCCTTAATAAATTGAGCTGCTTCAAAACTCGAAATTTTAGTTAGCTATTATATCATAACTCTAGAACAGGAGAAAATGTAAGAAATTTATTTACTCTTGTTTATTTATTTTTTATTTTTTAGTACCAGGGATTAAACCCAGAAGCACTGAGCCACATCCTCAGCCCCTTTTTCTTATTTTTTATTTTGTGACAGGGTCTCACTAAGTTGCTGAGGCTGGCTTTGAACTTGTGATTCTCCTGCCTTATCCTCCTGAGCTGCTGGAATTATAGGTGTGTGCCATCACACCCAGCTAATTTTTTTTTTTTTTTTTTGAGATAGTTAATAACAGGCATAGAATCCTAGGCAGTATAGCAAAATAAAATGAAAATTTTTCTTTCTTACTATTCTGAATCTGTTATCCTCATTTTGATCCCTTCCCTAAGCAAATGTTCATGAACTGGATTGGGGTGGTGGTGTGTGTAAAATAAGCACTGTTGGGTTTCTGAAATGTTTGATAGCACCACAACTACTAAAGACCCAGTTCTTCATCAGAATGAATAGAACTTTTCCATGAACATTAGATCTTATCGTTTTCAACAACTGTATTGTGGCACATTCTACTGGTATAAGAATATACACAGGGGCTGAAGTTATGGCTCAGCGGTAGAGTGCTCACCTGGCATGTGTGAGGCACTAGGTGTGATCCTCACCACATAAAAATAAATAAGGGCTGGGGTTGTGGCTCAGTAATGAGTGTTTGCCTAGCATGCTTGAGGCACTGAGTTCGATCCTCAGTACCACATAAATGTAAAATAAACATATTGTGTCCACTTAAAACTAAAAAATAAATATTTTAAATAAATTAATTAATTAAATAAAGGTATTATGTCCACCTACAACTAAAAAAAATTTTTTTTAAAAATATACACAATAGTAAAACTAGTACATTTTGTATGAGAATCACTATTTCTTCCTTGGTTATGTACTAGAGATTTTTAAAATACATCAAGTGTTTTAATAACTTCATAAAGGTTTTATTTCAGAATTTAAGTGTCTCATTCAAGATCAAAGTTTCTTAAAGAATAAACTACCTAGGAGTACATTTATTTTATGGTCATCATATATTAAGGTTTATTCATAAAGGCATTCTTTTAGTAGGAATACACAATCCAGTAGGCTGTCTGTCATAAATCCAGTGGCAAAGTTTACTCAGAAACTATAGGCAATGAAGATTTAATTTCAAAACAGCACCCTAATGTCCTCTTGAAATCTTTTCAGTTGACCTTCTTCTATTATTTAATACCATTACATACCAGTAATTGCATTTATTGAAGCCAGTGTTTCTCATTATAGGAAATGCTGATCATACTGAATCTCAAGTATGGGGAGCAAAATGTTCTTTAATAAATAATTGAAAACCTTTTGCTACTTTTCACAATTTACTTGGCCCTGTTGCCTTTTATGCCCAGAGTATCTTATAAATGATAACTAAACTATGGCATCTAAAAAATAATCTCTTAAAGAATGTCACAAAGTGTGCAACATAATAGCTTATTTTAAGTAGGTTAAATAGACTGGTTTTATCTCAAGTGGCTACTGTTTTAAAGAGAGCTTAACATGTTCAGCTTTATTCCTTAAACACCAAATGAATCCTGACACCTCTAATGAGTTGATTAAAGTTGGGAATTTTATCTCTTGACAGCATCAACAAGGAAAGCATCGTAGATGTAGAAGGCGTTGTGAGAAAAGTGAATCAGAAAGTTGGAAGCTGTACACAGCAAGATGTTGAGTTACATGTTCAGAAGGTAACCCTTTTCAAAATATGAAATTGTGAGGGCTGGGGAGCACTTTCTAGCATGTCTGAGACCCTCGGTTTGATCCCCAGCACCTAAACAAACACACATACACACACACACACACACACACCAAAATATGTAAAAATATTTCTGTATATAAATGGTATCTAGAAAAAAATTACAGCTTTTCATGTCACATTTTTAAAGCTATTTTTTTTAATTTATTTTTTAGAAGTAGCTGGACACAATACCTTTATTTTGTTTATTTATTTTTATGTGGTGCTGTGGATCAAACCCAGGACCTCGCACTTGCTAGATGAGAGCTCTATCACTGAGCCACTATCCCAGCCCCAACATCTACATTTTTTTAATAGTTTTTTTTAGTTATAGATGAACACAATGTCTTTATCTATTTTTATGTGGTGCTGAGGATCAAACCCAGTGCTTCACACGGCCAAGGCAGGCGCTCTACCACTGAGCTACAGCCTCAACAGTTTGTGTTATATAACAAATTATCTCAGGTTTGTTTGTTTTGTTTTTTAATTACCTCAGGATTTAATGATTTAGAACAACAAACATTTGCTTATGATTCTGTGAGCAAATTAGGATAGGCCTGTCTGGAATAGGTCACCTGCTCCACATGGCATTGACTAGTTCACAGATGTATCTGGAGCATCGCTTCTTATGGCCTCTCCTAATCTAGGATCACCTAGATAAGTTGATATGGTACTAGGGTAGTTCCCAGAGGCAAGTAAGGAGAGTCCTGTGCACAAGCATTTTTTTCAAAATTTCAGCTTGTGTCATGTTTATTAAATATCCCTTGTTCAAAGTCATTAGGCAAAACTCAACCCTAAGCGGTAGTGAAATAGATTCCAATTTTTGGAGGAGGAGCAGCAAGAACATACATACAGGAACAAGAGGAATTATTGCAGCCATTTTTGTACTTAGTCACATAAGGAAAAATATAAAACACATCTTAAAAATTTATTTACAATTATGAATCGGTCTTACTATGAATTTTCTTCTGATGATGCTTTTAAAGTTTGATTGATTATGCCAATCTTTAATAGTTTTGTTTCATTGAATTAATATTTTCACAACATAGAAAAGTCAAAAGAGATGACCCCACATTGGTCTCACGTTACAAATAGTAACTTTTTTTTTTTTTTTTTGCGGGGGATGCTAGGGATTGAACCCAGGGCCTTGTGCATGGGAAGCAAGCACTCTACCAACTGAGCTATATCCCCAGCCCATTACCTTTTTCTTTGTTTTTTTTTGTTTTTAAACATAACTTTATCCTTCATCTATTTTCTTCTCAGGCATAGAAACTGAGAATGCTCATTTTCATTGACTTGGTAACCAGCTACTTAGGAGGATCACAATTTTGAGGCCAGCCTGGGCAACCTAGCAAGATCCTGACTCAGAATTTTTTAAAAGAGGATTGGGAGTGGGGATGTAGCTCCATGGTGGGGCACTTGCCTAACATATGCAAAGCCCTGAGTTCAGCCCCCATTTCTACAAAAAAAAAAGTAAATTCACACACATTTAGTACTATTGAAATGACCTTTCAATTTTGAACCTATAGCTCTGCGATTGAGGCCTAGATTATGTCTACAATATGCATTATTAAATATCTCTTTAAGAAGGTATCTTCAGGGTTGGGGTTGTGGCTCAGCGGTAGAGTGCTTGCCTAACACATGTAAGGCCCTAGATTCAATTATCAACACCACATAAAAATAAATAAATAAACGTATTGTGTATTGTGTCCAACTACAACTAAAAAATTAATTTTTTTTTAAAGAAGGTGTCTTCAAAACAAGATGGTTTCTTTCACCCTCACTTTATCTCTGTATGTGTATATGCACATGTGCATGAGTATATATTAAAAAAATGAGGCAGACTGATTCAGAAAGACTAATAACACATACGTACTCACTAATTTGAGAGTAAGATTGTATTTAACAGAAATTGATTATCATGGAATTCTCTTGAGACATAGAAAATCTTGTATTTTTACTGACCTAACTTGATAGAATTCTTTCTATGTGTCTTATTTTGATTCATTCCCATCAGGCAATCTGTAACCTAGTAAAGAAGTCCATTGATGCTGACTTCTAAGAAAGATAGCTCCTGTCTTCTAACTAAATCTTTTTCAATTCTTTACTGAAGAAAACTTTTAGTGACTAGAGCAAACAAATGTATTTTTAAGAAATTCTTACTGAACTAGGCATATAGGTCATTGATAGAGCTCATGCCATACACAGGGCCCTGGGTTCAATCTGTAGCACCGGGAATAAAAGAAGATATTCTTAAAATGTAGCAGGCAACTTAAATAAGGGTTAATAATAAATATAAAGCCTAAAGAACTTACAGACAAGTTTTGCCTTAATAAAAATAGTTATAAAGTATTTCACAAAGCATAGTTTTACAGACTAAATAGAATTTTATCATAAGCAATGACTTTTCCTAATCGTGTATATATTTATTCAAACAGCATTCACTGATAATATATACTTTGTACCAAGTATTATGTGAAGGTCTGTAGCTCAAAATACTCAAAAACCTAATAAAGATGATGATGGATTTCTACTAATTATAAAAGTAAAAGAAGGAGCTCTTTAGGTCTACTTTGTATTGGAAATAAAATTTGTTATCAAAGGAAACCCTACAACTTGGGTATAGGAAATAGTGACAAATAACTCTGCTTTACTATGAGGAAGACTGAAGTGTCCTTTTGACACTTTTTTTTCTTGAAGTGTCTGAGCTAAATGCTAAATGTGATCTGCCAACTGGAAGAATATAATTCGCTTTCCTGAATTAACTAAATAAAGGCATTTCCCTTTGTGCTTTAGCAAGTTTTCCAGCCACGGTTGGGAATATAATATAGTAATTTTTTTAAGAGTATTCGGAAAATCTTAACCCAGTCTTTATGATCTAATTGTTTCTTATCACTGAAATGTGAAATTAGTGAGTGGATATTGAAGAATTTTAACAGTGTAAAGGAACATTCTGTATGGCAGCTTCCAACCAGAAAGCATCAGGAAATTACATGTTAATATTTGATGAGAGGAGGCAATTAAGGGATCCTTGGAAAAAAAGAAAAGGAGAGGTGTAAGCAGAGCTAGACTGAATCAGATCCTAGTAATATCAATGGTCAAATGCTTTTAACAGTAGTAGCAATTCTTATATTAATGGATTGATTCTTACATAAACCTCATTTTAATTAAAGCTCTGAGATTAAATGATTTCCCTAACAACAGCTTTTGTATGACAAATCTAGGCCAACCCATTGAAGTAGGCAAAAATACCTCCATTTTAGAGATGCAAAATATATATATATATCTTCTTTGAGTTTAGCAAGCATTTTCCGTTAAGGATGTATGCAAACATTGCTTCATGTTTAAATCAAATGCAGATTTTTTTTTTTTTTTCTATTTAAGCAAAAGATACCAGGTTTTGTGTACCTTTGCTATTTTTGGCCATTTCTCACTTTCAGATTTATGTGATCAGTTTGGCTGAACCCCGCCTGCCCCTGCAGCTGGATGATGCCATTCGGCCTGAGGTGGAAGGAGAAGAGGTATTTTATATTTATGAAATACACTTCCTGTTTATATTTAGTTTGTAAAACATTGAAAACCTGATGTCCTAGTTTTGTACTGAGTACCTGTAAATTGATTTGGGCTCACTTTTTATTTAAATTTACAGGGTCTGGGAATGTGCTTGCTTACTATGCACAAGGGCCTGGGTCTAATCCTTAGCACCATAAGAATATATATGTATATAAATAAATTTTACAGTTCTAACATTTTTATCTCAAAATCCCTTTTACACTTTTTTGTTTGTTTTCTTTGAGGTGCCAGGGATTGAACCCAAGCCTTACACATGCTAGGGCTAGTCCTTTGGGCTGGGTATATAGCTCAGTGGTAAAGTACTAGCCTAGCATGCACAAGATGTACAAGGCCCTGGCCTCCTGGCCTAATTCCCAGTACCACCAAAGAAAAAAAAAATTGAAAATTCCCACCCACTCCCAACTTTTATTTTATGGGTTTACCTATCAATATTTACAGTATTAGAAATTAAGACAAATTTGAAAGAATTAATTTGTTTAAAACAATACAAATGTATTTTAAACTTGTATATGTTTCATATGAATAATAAAATTAGCAGTAAAAAGCATTTTATATTTTCCAAAACAAAAAATAATTTAGTGTCAAGTGACATTGTAAAAAATAATAATAAAAATAATTTTTTAAAAAGTGATATTGTGTTATATATGCATAAATCTTTAATGTCTGTCTTTTTTTTCCATTTTAAAATGTTGTCTTTTTATTATTGAGTTTTTTTTATTTAGTACAGACACAAGTGTTTTATTAAATACATGTTTCACAAATCTTTTTTCCCATTCAGTGGGTTGTCTTCTCACTTTTCCCACCCTTTGGTACCAGGAATTTAACCCAGGGGCACTTAACCACTGAGCAATATCCCAGCCCTTTTTATATTTTTTATTTTAAGGCAAGGTCTCACTAAGTTGCCTAGGGGCTTGATCCGTTGCTGAGGCTGGTTTTAAACTTGTGTTCCTCCTGCCTCATCCTCCTGAGCCACTGGGATTACAAACAGGCCACTGTGCTTGGCTTCACTTTCTTGATGGTATTATACGCTGCACAAAAGTTTTTCTTTCTTTTTTTTTTTTTTTTTTTTAATGTCTGTCTTAATATACAACTAGATTCTCATTGCTTCTGAATTTACTCTGCTTTACCTTCATATAATCTTTGGAAAGCTCTTTGGTACACTCATTATGAGTGAGAGTGAAAAAGTATTATTATGCAAAAAAAAATGGGTTTGACTTCATGAACTCCCTGAAAGAATCTCAAAAACCTTTAGTGGTTCCCAGACCACACTTTTGAGGACTACTATTTTAACTTTTATCTGTTCCATCAATGTAGGCCTAACAGCTTAAATCCAGGAATCAATAAAGTTGCAGGTGGTTAATTCTTCTAATGTTCCAATAATGAGACAGAATTGTGGGGTGGAAAAAGGAAAGAAAGCCTCAGCATCTGTTCATGCACATTTCTTTCTCTTTAACACTAACTTCTCTGATCCTGCCTCTTATTTCTACTGTGACTTTAGATCCCTGATTTTTGTACATAATATTATTAACACACAGCCATTCTTACTTAAAAGTGAGCAGCTTCTGAAAGGTTTTTGTGTTCTTCAAAATTTACAGTCTGTTTTTTGGTGTTACAGGTTTTTTTGTTTTCTGTTTTTGATTTTGTTTTGTTTTTTAGGAAGGAAGAGCTACTGTTAACCAAGATACAAGATTAGACAACAGAGTCATTGATCTCCGGGTATGCCTCGTTTATTTATTAAGGTGATATGATTATGTCAAAATTGAGATGAGCAGGGATACCATAACTATTTTAAGTTTATAAAGCTAATTGGCATTTGCCTATGTATAATTATTCAGGAAACAGTTACCTTTCAGATTGACCCTTCTTCTAACAGGAACTGCTGGCAACAAGAACAGTCAAGTACTGGTTCACAAGATGTTGACTCACTTTGTTTTAAAATGATAGTGATCATAAATCCAATAAATAGAGTCAGTTCCAGGTGATAACTGTTTTGACAAGTTTAGTCAACAAGAAAATATAACTACTAATATTACTACAAAATTGTGAAAGAGGTTATATGCACATTTTTAGAACAAAAAAAGTGCAGATGAGTAATTAATGCTTCAATCTTGTGAATTTGATCTGGACACAATTAATAATACAGAAGTATTTGGCCCTAGTGGTTTATACAGCAGTTTCATGGGTCTTTTGTTTCCCTTTTGCTTTAGTTGCAAGTGAAAGATTTCAGTGCTTTCATCATTATAGTAAAACCAGTGTCATCTTTTTTTCTTAATGTTTGACCACATCTTCCTCCTTAAATATTCTACCTAATGTCAGATTCTTTGTCACCTTAAGAGTTATTTCCAACTCTTCTGCAATCATGCCAATTTAATTTGCACTTATAATACATTCAGTGTTGTTCCTAATTATTTGCTTTTTGTTTGCTTTTACCTTTTCCATTTTGATTTATGTAGAAAAATCCAGCAGTAATCAAAAGTCCTCTCTTCTTTTTATTTATTTATTTTTTTAGGGGCACTCCACCATTGAGCTACATCCTCAGTTTCTTCTTTGCTTTTTTGTTTTGTTGTTGTTATTTTGAGACAGGGTTTAAGTCCCTGAGGCTGGCCTCCAGCTTGTAATCCTCCTGCCCCAGCCTCCAAAGTCAGTAGAACATGCACAACCCCCACCCAACCCACCCTTTGCTAGACCTCTTGAAACTGCCTAGAAATCTCAGGTTTTTGCATATTTGTCCCTGTTATTTGTTCACACAGTTGTGATTACTTTGTGCCTCTGGAATTTGGCCCAAAGATTTTATTATTTTTGTTTTGTTTTGTTTTAATTCATTGCCACCATTGAAGCAAAGGAATTTTGTCAGGTGTAGTGGCACCCATTGAAGCAAAGGAATTTTGTCAGGTGCAGTGGCACATGCACCTGTAGTCAGTTCAGTCACTTGTGAGGACAAAAACAGGAGACTCACTTGAGCACAGAAGTTTGGAATTAGTCTGGGTAGCATAGTGAGGTCCATCTCAAAAAGAATAGAAAGTCAGGCATGGTGGTGCAAACCTATAATCCCAACAATTTTGGAGACTGAGCAAAAAGATCACAAGTTTGAAGCCAGCCTTGACAATTTAGCAAGGGCCAATATCTCATCTCAAAATAAAAAATAAAAAGGACTGGGGATGTAATTCAGTGATAAAATGTCCCTGGGCTCTATCCCCAGTACCAAAAAGAAAAGAAAGAATAGAGGAGAGATAGTAGTTTTGTATTAAAATTTAAGTGGCTTTTCTTAAAAAGTTGGAGGAGAAACTGGCAATACTGGGTCCACATGAGCTTGCATACTATGGGGCATGCTTTGTCCTGTACCACTAAGGATCATTCTGTTATTTAATTCATGTTATTTGGTCCTCAGAAGCATTCATATTTATTTTTTTAATATTTTTTAAATTCTAGATAGACACAATACCTTTATTTTATTTTGTTTATTTTTATGTGGTGTTAAGGGTCAAACCCATTTCTTCACACATGCTAGGCAAGTGCTCTACCATTGAGCCATACCCCTAGCCCCAGCATTCTCATTTTTAACCTCTACTTTGACATTTAGGGAGGCATGTGCATTAATAACTTCAAATCTTTAAGCACCTTAGTTTACAAAAGCAGCTGTTTTATTCTTAACTTAGCAAAGGCAGGGGTCAGAAGGCTGGGGTTGTAGCTCAGTGATAAAGTATTTGCCTAGCATGTGCGAGTCACTGGATTCAATCCTCAATACCATAAATAAATAAATAATAAATAAATAAGTGTGTCTATCTACAACTTAAAAAAAAAAAAGGGTTGGAGAAGCTGCAAGTCAAAGGCAAAATTAACAATCTCCAATAATATAAAACATTCCAGGATATATCTTCATGTTCATTCTACTGTAGCCTAATGTTTCTGTCAGATAATGAATTGTTTTCTCTAGAAACTTTCTAGGCAGGCAGTCTGAATAAAAAATATTTAGTCTCCTGGCCCCATACATATAAATAAAATACAAAATAGGGCTGGGAATGTGGCTCAGTGGCTGAGTGCCCCTAAGTTCCATCCCAAGAACCCCAAAAACGGGGAGGGGGTTTATTAGGTTGACTTACTTGACCAGAAGCTAGATAGTCCAACAATGGCTGGAAAACTGGGAGAACCAGTACCTGCACAGTCCAAGAGGCTGAAGCCCCAGAGCAAAAGGTATCAATGGTGCTACCCTAGTCAGACCTAAGGCTTCTGAAAATTCCTTGGTGGATCACTGGCAGAGTCCACTTTGGAAGAGTGAAAATCCAATATCCTCAGAGATTGTAGCAGCAATCAAGAACCCATTCAATAAGAATAGAGCTTTCATGTGCTGTTGCTTCCTTGTTCTTCCAACTTTTATTCCATCCACACATAGGGAGGGTCTCCACTTGAGTTGGCTATTCTCACATGCCAATCATTCCTTGGCAAACCCAGAAGTCTCTTAATCATCGGCATCTCTTAATCCGATCAAGTTGACAGTTCAAATTGACCATTACAAATTAACCATACCTAGCCAATTGAAATAAGGTTTAATTATACTTTCAAATTACACAGTATACTTTACATTAACTTATGTGCCATAATATTTTAGTTGCATTTTATTTGAAATAGGTTTACACGAATGCTTTATTAAATATATATTTCTTTTGTTTTACTCTAATCTTACTGAAGATCATTGTTAATTTTAACCCTAAACCATAAATTTTTTATATAGATGGAAAAGGCAATTATAGTAATCAACATGTAATAAGGTAACAGTTTTTCTTTTTTTAATTATTTTTCTTTTTTAAATTTTTTCTTCATGCTGTTTAATTATATTCTACCCAGAACAACCTGATTTGGCTGAAAGGGGAGAAATTTCCTTTACCATTTCTTAGATTTTAAATTCTTTGAGTTGTCCTCTTATGATAATGATTTTTGAAGGAGGAACAAATATTGAAAGATGAACCAGTAGTGGATACAAAATGATTTGTATCTACTTTGATTTTATCCACTGAGCACGATTTCTCTAGCAGATTAACTGTACAATCCAGGCTTTTGGACAGTGTTTGCCTCTGGACAAATTGCCTTAGAGTGATATTCAAATCTCCTAATACTAAATTTTATTTTTTAGTTTGGGGGCAGGGAGTTTTGTTCGGTTTGGGATTTGTCTTTTCTTTTGGTACTAGGGACTAAACCCAGGGGCACTATACCATGAAGCTACATCCACAGCCCTTTTTATTTTTCATTTTGAGACAGGGAATTGCTAAGTTGCCCAGTCTCGTCTCAAACTTGTGATCCTCCTGCCTCAGTCTCCTGAGTACCTGGGATTGCAGATGTGTACCAACATACCCAGCTTCTTGGTAGTAATTCCTGTTAATATGATAAGTAATTTAAAAAGTTCAGGATTTATTTTGGAATATTTTATTTTTCTTGGTTTTTTTCCCCACCCTCATTCTCAAATTCAACTATTAAAAATAGTAAATATTTTCCAGTATGTAAGGGCTAGTAGAAATTAGAACATAGTAGACAAATTAAAATCAGACATAGTGGCACATGCCTATAATCCAGCAACTCTAGAGACAAAGACAGGAGGATAACAAATTCAAGGACAGCCTGGTCAATTTAGCAAGACCCTGTCTCAAAAAATAAAAAGGGCTAGGGACATGGCTCAGTGGTAGAGCTTTCCTGAATTTAGTCCCCAGTACCAAAAAAATAAAGAAAGAAACAAATTGGGACATTGGAATTATTATCTAAATAACTGTTCACTGTCTATTCTAAGTACCATCTTTCTGATGGTTAGCAAGTGTCTTGAAAAATCTAATGAGGAAAAACACTATATATATATATATATGAATGAGACATAATTCCAGTTTCCTGGATCTGTGTTCTGCACTAACATTCTTGTTTATGTAATCAGGACGTCAAGAATGGTAGCCCAGTGTCGTTTTTAAAAAAACATAATTAGTGCTTTGTACGGTGGAACACACCTATAATCCTAAATTTGAAACCAGCCTCAGCAATTTAGTAAGGGCCGTAAGCAACTTAATGAGGCCCTATCTCACAATAAAAAATAAAAAGGGGTGGGGATGTGGCTCAGTGGTAAGGAACTCCTAGGTTCAGTCCCCAGTATCAAAAAAAAAAAAAAAAAAAAGAATTTTAAATAAAAACATAATTAGTGAAATTTCTATTAATACCATATAAGCTGTGGTGATCATATATAGGTTGTTAGATTTTTTTATGGTAATACATTATCTAATCTATTTTATTAAGAGTAATGACAAATGTCTTCTGGATGATATTTCTCACCCTCCTTACAAGCAGGTCAGACACACAGTTGCAAATGAGTTATAAACGTAAAATGTCTGAAAAACAACAAATTCTTCATCAAAATTTTAAAACTCTTTACTGAAAGAATACATTCAGTTGGGTGCAGTGACACATGCCTGTAATCCCAGCCGCGCTGGAAACTGAGGCAGGAGGATCATGAGTGAGTTCAAAGCCAGCCTCAGCAAATTAACAAGGTCCTAAGCAACTCAGTGAGACCCTGTCTTGACATAAAAATATTTTTAAAAGGGCTGCGGATGTGGCTCAGTGGTTAAGTGTCCCTGGTTTCAATCCCCAGTACCAAAAAAAATACATTCAACTACTTTACCACTAAGAACAGGATTAAGTTTAAATCCCAAATCACAGAAAATGCCCAGATAAGTTCAGATACATAAAGTTAAATAACACTGAAAATATACTATCAAATGTACTTCAAAGAGGCTGAAATAATTTAATACTTCAACTAGCATTGTAGTACCCAGTTTCCCTAGTCTTCAGCACTATATATTCATTCTTTTTTTTTTTTAAGTTGTAGTTAGACACAATACCTTTATTTCACTTATTTATTTTTATGTGGTGCTGAGGATCGAACCCAGGATCTCGCACGTGCGAAGCAAGCGCTCTACCGCTGAGCCACAACCCCAGCCCCTACATTCATTCTTTTTTGAGATATTCTACTCCTGGGAATTTGAAAAGCAAATCAATAATCAGAAACATATGTGAAATTAAATAATTAAGGATACCTACTTCAAAGTAGCCTATAATTTTGAAATGTTAAATAAGATTTAAATCTTCACACAGGACATGAAGACTGTAGGTTACTATATTTTTGAAAGCAAGAGTTTGTAATTTGTTGTGATTGAATGAACCCTATTTCCCTAAACCACATAGTGTAAAAGAAAAGCCACAAGTCTTTCTCTAGTTTAAGTGTAGACATCTTGCAAATGAATAAGTAAATAGTCCAAAAAATTATGAGTCTTTTATATGTTTTCAGTTGTTTTGTGGGAAATTATTGATTTGTACCTTTGACTTTGAATTATAGAATACTGTTACTTAAATATGTCCTGGTTTACATGAATTTTTTCACTCCACCTACAGAAAGTCGAGGTTATTAAGTAGAATTTTTTGTGGTGAAGGAAATGTAGATTGGCCATCTCATCATTAACAGCGTTTTCAAAGGGTGCTACTATCTACATTCAGAATGAATGCTGTATGCACTGATTCAAGAGTAAAGCCCTTTGACATGGGGTAAATAATTGAAATTCCTGAATACCATTTCAGCTTTCCACAGCTATCAATGTTTTAAGGTCAGGTGTTTTTTGCTAAATGTCTATCTAGTCACAGAATAACTTCTTGATGCCTTTTTCCCCCTCCTTCTAATGTATTAGGCAAGACTTTCAGATAAGAAACCACTTCTTTTGACCAAATGATCAAAAGTTAGTATAGAACAGAGACAATTACTTCTAGAGCTTTCTGGCAACTATTAGATTTGGTTGAGGCTGAAAGTAAATTGGGGGACCAAAGAAACTGAGAAAGAAAGTAGGGGAAGGGAGAAAAAATACAAAAGGTGACTGGTAGACAGTGCTTTAGATGCCATTTGAGAAGTCAGTGTCATAGGATATCTACCCCTTTTATTTTTTCTTAATTTAATTGAAACAAACACATGATTGTCTGCAATTCAAGTATTATTGATAATAATTAAAAGTATATGGTTGCTTTATTCATTTATTATTCAGTGCTAAAATCTTCCCTTAGAGGATTTGTATGCTGCACAAACATCAGTAAGCTCACTTCATGGTTGCCTTTAGGAAAAAAAAATAGAATTTATAAGTAAGGTATTTCATTAGTTAAGAAATATTTTTCTTTTATGGAATTCTTACAAATTAAAACATCTGCTCATAGCATTTCTATGATCATATATAGTCATTACATTCCAGCATCCTTATCACCTTCTGTGTTGTTTCGTTTGTGTGCTTTTAGGTTTCTAGCAGTGCTGAGCACACATGGTGAATGAAATTGATTTTATTACATTTTTTATTGTCTTATAGACATCAACTAGTCAGGCAATCTTCCGTCTGCAGTCTGGCATCTGCCATCTTTTCCGAGAAACTTTAATTAACAAAGGTTTTGTGGAAATCCAGACTCCTAAAATTATTTCAGGTAAGCTTCAAAATATTTATATTAATTTTTACTTTAATACTGGAGAATCACAACTGTCCCTTAAGATTTATTATCAAGAAGCTTTTTTTTCCCAAAGCTCATGTGCTATTAGGAGACATTTATCACCACTATCAGTAATTTTACATCCCCTCATTCCATTTTTGTGATGATGGTTTTAAAATGAGACAGTAACACAAAAAGCACAATTCCTGTTTCTAAAATTAAACCAGGAGCTATGCATTGTTTAAGTATCTTTTGAAATTGGTATAATAATTTTGTTTTGTACAAACTGTATTGTAAAATCTCTGAATATCCATTAATGGGAAAATTACATTAATTCTTATTCTTTTTGTTTAATATTATTTTTCGGTTTAGGTGGACACAATATCTTTATTTTACATTTATGTGGTGCTGAGGATTGAACCCAGGGCCTTGTATGTTCTAGGCGAGCAATCTACCACAGAGCCACAACCCCAGCCCTAATTCTTATTCTTACATGAAAACCTTGTCTTAATTATTTTGCCCTTTTGAGAATTGCTAAAAAAGAGTATTATGGGTGGTATTTAGTTAAAATTTTAAAATGAAGTTTTGATTTTTTTATTGTTTTTTGGGCTTGCAGGGGGCACTTTACCATTGAGCTACATGCCCAATCATTTTATTTTTCCATTTGAGACAGGGTCTCACTTAGTTGCTGAAGTTAGCTTTGTACTTATAATCCTCCTGCTTCAGCCACCCAATTTGCTGGAATTACCAGTGTATGTCAGTGCCTGGCCTTGCATTCTTGATAATTAGAAAATGGTTATCTTTTTCCTTTCTGTGTTTTGTTTTTACAGTTACAAAGAAGCTTTAATAGATTTGAAATTGGTACAGAAAAGAGGCATTTGTAGCCAAAGAAGTCAATGTGGTTTACATATAAACTATGTAGAATCACATATATATAAGAATACTATATAGACTGTGATTTATCTGCAGCTCTTGATTTTCCAGTCTTTCTTTTTTGAATACATTGTTCAAATTTAAAGGATAAATTGTTTTTACTAAAGGATTACATTGATAAACTTATAACTTATTATAATAAATAAATGTTTACATTTCAGCTGCCAGTGAAGGAGGAGCCAATGTATTTACTGTATCATATTTTAAAAATAATGCATACCTAGCTCAGTCTCCACAGCTGTATAAGCAAATGTGCATTTGTGCTGATTTTGAGAAGGTGTTCTGTATTGGACCAGGTAAGATTTTTGTCAGTTATGATTTTTTTTCCAAGTTCATTAATGATATAATAATTATAGTGTTAGAAACACATTTTGTGTGTGTGTTTGATGTACAGGCGCTTTTAAAAATTTAAATTCTTTTATCTGCTCACTATTAGACTTTGAGGTAGAAATCAGAATGTGTTTGAGTAGACATTTTAGGGGGGAAAGTAGACTATTTAGAATACATATATACTCACTAGTTCATTAAACATTTGAACATCATTCATGTCAATAGGATCATAAGCATTATATATTCTTACTAAAGAATGCTGAAGAAATTTTTATTATCAAGAATATTTCATTTTAAAGATGCATGCTTTGAAAATATTCAGTCTGAAATATACCTAAGTATATTAATTATTTTACCTACATGCAACTAAAGCAAACCATAATTCATGTTTGAACTATTCTTTCAAGCCCCCCCAGTACTAAAACCCAGATAGGTGCAATCTGTCAGATATTATAGTTTGTTGTCTTTAATAACCTCTTCTTTTGTAAGTTTCCAGTGTTGTTCTTTTTATGCCAGATGGGTATGGTGGTACACGTCTATAATCGCAACAGTTTAGCAAGACGTTAAGCAACTTAGCAAGACCCTGTCTCAATATTTTTAAAAATAAATAGAAGGGCTGGGCATACAGCTCAGTGGTAAAGTACCCCTGGGTTTGTCCCCAGTGCCCCTAAAAAACAAAAATTATTTTATTCCAGAGCCATTCTGTTTATTATTGTTTATATGCTTAATTTTGGTGTTATGCTGAAGTCTGTTAGAAATTAATGAGAAATGTCTATATCTAATATCATTTTTAAAATACGTTTGCTATAAGTACAGGCGTGTAATCATGGCATATTTTTATGAAGCTAATTATAAGAAAAACATCAGCTTTCCTTCATTCTTTTAAAACTTAACAAGTTATATATAGTTTTTGATAGCTTAATAAAAATTAGGTGCTTGATAATAGAGAAACTGGCAAGATCATTAAGTGTCTTTAATTTTCTGAATTTATTAACCAGTTATTTGTTTTAACACATGCTGCATATATAGTCTTACGTTAGGTACTGTGTACATAAAAGAAGAATCAACCAGCATTTCTCAAATGTTAATGCATATGAATCACCTGGAGATGTTGTTAAAATGCAGATTCTAGTCAGTTAGATCTGGCATAAGGCCTGATATTCTGCAGTTCTTAAAAGCACATAGGTACTAGATGCTTGATGCTGCTGATTTGCAGTCATGCTCTGAATGACAAGAGAATAAACATTGTATCTGCTCCCAAGACTTAATAAGATGTTCATACAGAGCTGGGGATGTGGCTCAGTGGTAGAGCGCTTGCCTAGCACGCATGAGGCACTGGGTTCGATCCTTAGCACCACATACAAATAAAATAAAGGTAGTATGTTCACCCACAACTAAAAAGATATTTAAAAAAAAAAAAAGGATGTGCAGTCACGGGGAATAATCAAATGATTTTTAAAATGAATAATCAGACTATGCTGAACAGTCAGCAGATTGGTGTTAATTGTGTACCAAGGAAAAACTAAGGGAAGAAGTTGGAATTTGCTAGTCACCATAAAAGAAAATTCACACTGAAATGGGCTTTAAGGACAAAGTGGGATATATAAACAACAGAAATGACATTTTAGAGGAAACAGGATAAGTAAAGAGCATGGAGAAAACAAAAGAATAGTTAATATTAAGAAGAAATGGGGGCTGGGGATGTGGCTCAGTGGTAGAGCACTTGCCTCGCACGTGTGAAGCACTGGGTTCGATCCTCATCACCACATGAAAATAAGTAAATAAAATAAAGGTACTTTTAAAAAGAAGAAGAAATGGAATATACAAGGTAAGATTAAGTTGTGAAAGAATAAAGGTTTTAGACTTTTGTCATTTTATGTCTTATTACAGTAGTCCTTTGGGAACCATTGCAAAGTTCTGAGCAAGGATGTGTTTATAGGAATATTAATCTGGCAGTGATGTGAAAGAAGAGCTAAGCTAGACTTAGAAAGCCTGGGAAGGAAGAAAATGCAGTGAGGCTAGTGAGCACTGAACTGAAGTAATGACTAGAATATGTATAATGTTACCTCATTTGTACATGTTTCATTTTGCCTGAGTCATGTTTTAATAAAATTGAGAAGCACTTACTGTATTGGTCATAATTGAATCTGTTTGTTATTATTGAGAAGGCACCTTAGGATCTTACATTCCCTTGGGGTTCTCAATGAGCCTGATTTATTAATTCACATTTGGTATAGCTTTTACTATTGGACCGTAGGAGTTTGTAATGAACTTGGTATCCAAGAGAATGCTGAAACAGATGGTTTATCAAATTCCATTCCAGCCCTGTAGTGATATGAAAATAGTATAGCTTGAGCACTACTGAATGGAGTTTTATATTTAAATCCAATTTATCTAAAACTTAAAATACTATTTGCTGTTCAATACTTTTCTTAATTCAGTTTTCAGAGCTGAAGACTCCAATACCCACAGACATCTGACTGAATTTGTTGGTCTGGACATTGAAATGGCTTTTAGTTATCATTATCATGAAGTTTTAGAAGAAATTGCTGACACCTTGGTACAAATATTTAAAGGACTTCAAGAAAGGTAAAAAATATTTTATATCCATAACTGGCCTTAATTTCAAATCAACGTGGGTTCTTCTTTAAAAAATAATATCAATTCTTGGGCTAGGGATGTGGCTTAGTGGTAGAACACTTGCCTGGCATATATGAGACCCTGGGTTCAATCCTCAGCACTATGGAAATGATAACCATGATAATAATAATTCTTGAAAATATGTAGACTAAATTTCCCTTAATCTAATAAATATAGTTATATGCTACATGAAGATGGTTTAGTCAGCAAAGGACCACATATATCACAGTGGTCCCATAAGATTATATCACCTAATGACATCATAATCATCTTTGTATAAATACACTTTGAGATGTTCACAGTGACAGAAGCACAGGAAGTGGCCCTGTCCTTAAGGGATACGTGACAGAAATTAGAAGAATGCACACTCAGTACCTATGGATCCAAGTCAGTTGGGACCTCAACTAGTTAACATCTTTTTAGTGGTGAAGTTTACCAGATTGTGAACAATTTGGCTGAATTTTTGTTTTTGTTTTTGTTTGATTTTTACTGACATCCTGAATGTCTGAAGAAATTAGAGTGTCTATTACTTTTAGAGCAGTTTATTATTTGAGAAGTTGAATGGAATAGCTTGACACTGAGCGTGGTGGTGCATGCCCATACTCCCAGTGACTAAGGGGGCTGAGCAGGAGAATCGCAAGTTCGTGGAATAAAAAATAAAAAGGACTGAGAGTACAATTCAGTGTTAAAGCATTTCTGGGTTCACTCCCCACTACCACCCAAAAAAATTTGTATTGAGCTACATCTAGGTAGCCCAAGTTCAAATCCCACCTTTGCTACTTTTCTGTGTAGGCCTTGTACATCTCTGTGCCTCAGTTTCCTCGGCTATTAGATCAAAATAATGTTACATCAGACCTTAAGGCGCAGTTGCACACGCCTGTCTTAATGTAAATTAAGCCTATATCAGGAATGGTTAATTCTTAAGTCACTTTAAATTTTGTGCTCAGTAAAGACTAGAAACTAGGGCTGAGGTTGTGGCTCAATGGTACAGTGCTTGCCTAGCATGTGTGAGGCACAGGGTTCAATTCTCAGCACTGCATATAAATAAATAAAATAAAGGTCCATCAACACCTAAAAACTAAAAAAGAAAAAAATAAATGAAATTTTTTTTAAAAAAATTAGAAACTAGTAGACTGAAGGAAGTTTTTACCTGATTAGGTCTGGGTGAATTGGCATTTGTAGAAAAATAGATGTGTTCTAGATGTTCTCAAAATTTAATTGTATAAAATGTCCACTTTAGGTATACATGCCAAACTGACAAATAAGATCATTGAAAGACCATTGAAATTTGTTTACTTGTGATGATGTTTAACATGGAGAAAACAGGAAAAGAAAATCAGAAACAAGTTGATCAAGAGAATCTCTTTTGGGGATTAGGAATATGATGATGTTTAAAATGGAGAAAACAGGAAAAGAAAATCAGAACAAGTTGGTCAAGAGAATTTCTTTTGGGGATTTGGGAATATCTATCACTTGCCAGACCCTGCCCCAAAGAGAAAAGAAACCAAGAAAGTCTCTTTTTCCTTTCTTCATCCTGGTGACTATACTTCAATTGTTAGGTAGGTAATAACAGACTTAATCTAGCATTTTAAAGCTGATGAAGGACCATATTTGAGATTTTTTTTTTTTAAGAACACTGATTTAACAGTTCGTTATATTTTATATGCTTCATTGATACTTTTTATTAAAGAGTTCAAAAATATGAATTTTACTTAAACATTGCAGGGATAATGAATAAATTCAAGAATGCAGAAATTAATCATTGATCTTATATTAAAATACTGTAGCATATGCACTAGTATTTTCTAGGCAGTCTCTGCATTGCTTTGTGAAGTTAGTATGTTTAACTTTTGTCCTCTGAAATATTTTGATACTGTTTATTTAAGCAACTTCAATTCAGATAGCCATGGAACAACTAATAATATTGTCTTATAAAATAATAGCCTTTGAAACCCTGATGCAGGAATGCAGTTTTTCTCATTTTCTTTTCACATATATAGTTCAAGAAAGTTTCTGAAATCTATTTTAGATAGTTATAGCATCTCCATTTAATATTAGTGAAATTTTTACTTTGATTCTAAATAACAGAGCAAGCATGAATCAGGCCCTTTGGATTAATCCAATCTCCACTTATTACACACTGAGACGCCATTATTACTGAACTTATTCAGTACTCTTAAGGTGGCAATTTGAAAATAAGTCTTCTTTATGTATTCTATGACTCATGTAGAAATTTTAAGATTCTGTGTCACTTGTAAATTGGGTTATTGGGCTTATATCTTGTTCCTTTCAGATTAGTTTTTACCTAATAGAGGAGTAATATACAAATGAATTTTTAAGCATTGATAGTCATATTTTTGTACTACCATTGTTAGACATGAGTGAGGATTACTATTCAAAGCAAGCTACTCGTGGTGGCTCATGCCTGTAATCCCAGCAGCTCTGGAGGCTGAGGCAGAGGAGGATCCTGAGTTCAAAGCAAGTCTCAGCAACAGCAAGGCACTAAGCAACTAATTGAGACCCTATCTCTAAATAAAATACAAAATAGGGCTGAGGACGTGGCTTGGTGGTTATGTGCCCCTACGTTAATCCTGGTACCAAAAACAAATTATTAGGGTCTTCCTAATCCTTCTTCTGTTAAGATTTGAATAAATCTGTCATCAAATTTTTTTGTTCCTATGAGAGTCTCTAAGACAATAAAAAGAAAGTGTTTTAAACCGAGCGCAGTCGGGCATGCCTATAATCCCAACAGCTCGGGAAGCTGAGACAGGAGGATTGAGAGTTCAAAGCCAGCCTCGGCAAAAATGAAGCACTAAACAACTCAGTGAGACCCTGACTCTAAATAAAATACAAAATAGGGCTGGGGATGTGGCTTAGTGGGTGAGTGCCCCTGAGTTCAATCCCTGGTACCCGCCAAGAAAGGAAGTGTTTTTTAAGGTACAAATGCTATATAAAGAATACTAGAATAAATAGGCTAAGCAAAGTAAGCCAATCCCAAAAAACCAAGGCCAAATATTCTCTCTGATAAGTGGATGCTGATCCATAATGGAAGGGGGCATAGGGAGAATGGAGAAACTTTGGGCAAAGGGGAGGGGAGGGTGCAAGTCTATTAATTAAGAAAGTTTTCAAAATAAATACTAAAGTATGGCTATTAGCCTAATGAACAACCCTGTACTCATCACCTGATTTCAACTGTTGTCAACCCATGACCAATTTTATTTTACCTATTTCCTTTACCCCATATTTTATTTTGAAGCAAAACAAATTCCCACTTATCATTTCATCCATAAATACTTTAGCAAAAGTTTGTTTGTTTGTTTGTTTGTATTTTGGTATTGAAGGTTAAACCCTGGGGCACATTACCACTGAGCGATATCCCCAACTGTTTTAATTGTTCAATTTGAGACAGGTCTTGCTAAATTGCTGAGACCAATCTCCAACTGCAGTCTTCCTGCCTCAGCCTCCTGAGTTGCTGGGATTACAGGCAAGCACCATCACACCTGGCTTGCTTTTTTAATCTTTTTTTGAACCAGGAATTGAACTCAGGGTATTCTACCACTGAACATCACATCCCCATCCCTGTTTTGTATTTTATTTAGAGACAGAGTCTCACTGAGTTAGTTGGTTAGCACCTCACTGTTGCTGAGGTTGGCTTTGAACTCATGATCATCCCGATCCTCCTGTCTCAGCCTCCTGAGCTGCTAGGATTACAGGTGTGCGCTACTGTGCCTGGCACTTTTTAAATCTTAATGAAATATCATCTTGCACATCAGAAATTCAGTTTAGTTAACATTTGTCTTGGGCCTATGGTATATAGGGTAGGCATATACTATGGGAATTATCAAAATAGAAAAGAAATTAGCACTGTCCTAAATGAATTTGCAATATTATAATGGGAATTGTGGCAGGGTATAGGTAGGACAAGTATTCATTAATTTGGTCTTCCTTGAAGATAAAGGTCTTGTTAAAGGGTTTAAAAGTCAGTTTTTTAAATGCTTCATAAAATAGATTTTTTATGTTCTAACAATACTTAATATTATTGAGTCACAAAAAAAATTTGAATCCTTTAATGCTTCTCTGCTTACAAAAATATGAGACCAAGAAATGTTACTAAGTATTTTAAGTATTAATTTTATTCTTTAATAATTTGATAATGATTTTCCTGGTGTGTATACTGATTCAGATAATGATTTTTTTTTTATATTGCCACAGTGACCTCTTGTGGGGGAAACATTTATCTCACAAACTTTATTAACTAAATCATTGTACATATAGGTTTCAGACTGAAATTCAAACTGTGAATAAACAGTTCCCTTGTGAACCCTTCAAATTTTTGGAACCAACTTTAAGACTAGAGTATTGTGAAGCTTTGGCTATGCTTAGAGAAGCTGGAGTTGAAATGGGAGATGAAGAAGATCTGAGGTTTGTTTTTATGAATTTTTAAAAATAATAATTAGTTTTAATATATAAGAGAATGAACATATTAACAAATTATTTTTCTCACCTGATAAATTTTATTAACTTTGGTATTATAGTATGATACTATTTTATGAATGTATGATCTGAAATAAAATATTATGTTTAAACTATAATATAGAAAGTGTAAGCTTCTAAAATTTTGTTCATAAACATCATTTCCTCCCACTCATATTTATATCCCTTTCAAGAGATAGGGAGTTTTGCTTTTGATCTTATCACCTAATATGTTAGTTTTCTTTCCCAATCTACCCTCATACAAAATCAGGGCATAAAAATGTTAACATCTCCCAAAGTTATAGAAATTATTTCTTTTATCTGGGCTTGGTGGTGCACATCCGTAATCCCAGCTGCTCAAGAGAATGAGACAGGAGAATTGCAATTTGAAGCCAGCCTGGGCAATTTAGTAATCCCCTGTCTCAAAGTCAAAAATAAAATAGGCAGAGATGTAGCTCATCTCTGTGGTAGAGAACTCCTGGATCAATATCTAGTACTGGAATGGGGGAGGGAGATACTGTTTTTTATTTGATTGCATGATATTATGTAATCTAAATCCAGATCATACAACTTGTAATTTAGAAACAAATTATGTAGTTTAGTAAAAATTAAAAATTACTACCAGCTTATCACAACCAATATCATATGTGGGAGGGAAAGGATACTATTGGCATTTTTTATTTTTTATTTTTTTTTTTTAAGTAAATTGTACTTAAAACCCATTATTTATTTTTGTTCCTTTACAAGAAATATGTATTTAATTATAGACAATGTATTTGTATATTATGTGTGTATCTATAATTATTATATGTATTTTGTGTGTGTGTGTTTTTTTGGGCATCCCCTATACTGCTCGATGACATTTAAAGGCAAGCCATATAAGTTTTATAATTATTGTAAATTGGCAATATTAAGGATTTTGGAAATTGCCCTTATATTAGACTATTAAAGAAACTGCTTCCTGACTTTAGAAATTTAATGTATCTGTATGAACCAGGAATTGAACTCAGATACTATTACATTTTAAATACTTTTAAATATTGAGTTTTATTTTACAGACCTTTGATAAAGAATACCAAAAAGTGGAGACACGGGTCCTCAACATGTCTGAGATCCTGGGTTCAATTTCCCACCACCAGGGGGGAAAAAGGCAGAGGGGACCAATTAAGGGCAAGATTAGTTTACGTTGGTCTAGTGACGTTTTATTATATGTAATTGTAGAAAATTATTCCATGGTGCTTCTTAATTAATTAATTTCTAAATTCTCTTTGGTCCTAATTATTGGAGCAGCACCTATAAATGCTAAGTTTCATTCATAAATGGTTTTCTGTAGTACTTGCCTTTTGAAAAGCAGCATGATAAACAATTGTTTTGGCCATATTTTTTGTCCTTTAAGGACTTACAGGAAGGAGTGCCATATTAATTTTAAATTGAACCAAAGGATGCTGAACCACTGAGCCACATCCCCAGCCTATTTTATTTTTAATTTTGAGAGAGGCTTTTGTTGAGTTGCTTAGGGCCTCTCTGGCGTTGAACTTGATCTCCTCCTACCTCTGCCTCTGGAGCCACTGCGTTTAAAGACGTGTGCACTCCTATGCCTGGCTAGTTTAAAATCTTTTTAAGTTGCTGATTAATCTTCAAACACCTGACTTCATCTTTCATTTTCAGTACACCAAATGAAAAACTATTGGGTCGTTTGGTAAAAGAAAAGGTAAGACCTCTTATGCATGCTGCACTTTTTTTCTATGTCTGAAATATCTTTGTACAAGAGGATAGTTGCAGAAGGTTCTAAAACTCTTCTACAGTGGTAACCTTCCAGAATAAATAAAAGGGGAATGGTGCTTTTTTAAAAAATTCTTCTAAGTCATTGTTAGATTAGTTAGAAAGGACTTCAAAATTATTTGCATTTGTTTTTTTAAATTCTTCCTGAATATCCCTACTCTCTTACGAGACTTGAAGATAAATAAGCTTTCTTCTGCTACTTTACTATCTCATCTTCTAAAACTAAAAGCACCAAATGGAATAAAAGTTAAAACTTACTATGGTCTTTCTAAAAGAATTAAGACAATGATTTAATGAAATGAAACAGTCCTTGAGCTCCTCTTGATAATAGCACTTAACATGGTTAATCTGACTAAAGAACTCAGATATTTCTGAAACCGTACAATATTGAATTTATACCTTTAAAATGCTTTTTCAGCAGGGCAAATTCTTCTAGCTTATTAACTCTGTTGACATTTTCTCTATTCTTCAGTTTTAGCAAAAATGTTTAAAGTCAAAAATAGTTGATTTTTAATGGGTTCCTTTAAAATTAAATCTAAGTCATATAGTTAATATTCTAACAAAAATGTCATAATTTTATGTTAATAATTATTTATTCCTTTCTATTGTAGTTTTCATGTGAAGAAAACTACTAAATTTTACTTAAATATCTTTTAAAAATTGAGAAGGTAACCAAAGTTTATAAAAAAAGATTAATACTGTAAGAGATGTCAGTTTTTTCCCAAAATAATCCATAGATTTAACTTGCTTTCTGTAAAAACCTAACAATTGATATAATGTGTCTGAAATGTTGAGATGAGCTACAATAACAAAAGGAAAGTACTGAAAATCAAAGATGTTTATCCAAATATACTTTATGATTGGGGAACAATTAGAGATTACATGTTCAAAAAAGCAATAAATTGGACTTTGATTCAAATTTTGAACCATGGCTCAAATTTTGGCTGGTAAATAGCTTCCAAAGATTAGGTACTGCAATTATTTATAACACATGACAAAATGCTGTAGGATGTAAATGTTACTTCAAAAAAGCAGGATATTTATAATTATAATGTAAATATAGTAATTTTGAAGAGCAAAAATATACATGTTTAAAAATATTAATTTAACAAAAAAGTTTATTTTAAAAACGTATTTTAATTGCCTTTATTCTTTTTATAGTATGATACAGATTTTTATATTCTTGATAAATATCCATTGGCTGTAAGACCTTTTTATACCATGCCTGACCCAAGAAATCCTGTAAGTAATTTAGTTTTAAATGGCCTGTTTGGGAGAAGAAAATAACTTTATTATCACCATGTCAAATTGCTGGTCACAGTGGCCCACGCCTGTTCTTCCAGCAGCTCAGGAGGCTGAGGCATGAGGATTGTGAGTTAAAAGCCAGCCTCAACAACTTATCAAGGCCCTAAGCAACTCAGTGAGACCCTGTCTCTAAATAAAATACAAAAAATGGTTGGGGATGTGGCTCGGTAGTTGAGTGCCCCTGAGTTCAAACCCCAGTACCCACCCTACCCCACCCCCAAAAAAATATCTGTACCATTTCTTAATTTTAGATGTGGAACTCTGATTTGTTGCTGGGGGATGTGGAAGGAGAGGGCTAAGTCTGATACAAGTAAGAAAGAAAGCCTTCAGCACCTCTACGTTAAAAGAAGCTCATTATATTTTATTTATTAAAGAAAGTTGCATCATTAATTGTAGAAAAGGATGGACTTTTCATGCAGTGTAGTTTTTTTCTACATACTTATAATGGAAAAGGGGTGATAATATTTTTAAGAGTGGTTTGCTTTTCCTACAGAAACAGTCCAACTCTTATGATATGTTCATGAGAGGAGAAGAAATATTGTCAGGAGCTCAAAGAATACATGATCCTCAGCTGCTAACAGAGAGAGCCTTACATCATGGAATTGGTAAATAATTTAAAATGTATTTAGCGGAATATTTATTCTGAAACAAATCCTTGTAAACATTTTAAAGACTTTTCAAAGTCTTTTTTTTTTAAAGTCTTCCTTGAACAGCATTTTTAATTTTTCAAGATAAATAAGATGATAAATTTTGTTTTATTTATTTTTATAGATTTGGAGAAAATCAAGGCTTACATTGATTCCTTCCGTTTTGGAGCCCCTCCTCATGCTGGTGGAGGCATTGGTAATACTGTTATTGCTTACAAATAAGTCTGTAAATACTAAGTGTAATATAAATTTGAACCATAAGAATATTTTAGAGTGAGTTATGACTGAGTAAAAATTTGATTTCCAAAGTAGGAAATGAACAGCTAACTTTTTTATTTCTAAAACATTATAGGGATGGGGTTAGAGTAAAAAGGTACAACTCACATAATAAGTACACATATTTGCAGATTATTTGCTAAGAGATGACTGTCCTGAAGATATATAAAATTATTAAAACTCAACATTTTTTAAAAAACTCAATCAGAAAATTTTGGGGTGCTGCAGGATTCTCAAAGTCTCAGAATTTGGAGAATTTTGGACTTTCAGAATAGGGATGCTCTTATATGTGTGTGTGAGAGAGAGAGAGGTATTTTTTTTTTTTTAGCTTTAATCATTTCCCAATGTTTTCATATCTCAAAATATTACATTGTATTCTAAAAATACATAAAATTTTTGGTCATTTATAACCCAGTAAAGCTAGAAAAAAATTTAAAAATAAAAATAATTAAATAGCATTAATAAAGATCATAAGAATTTTTTTTAAAAAGAGATAAAATCCTGGAGCAGTGGCACTCACCTTTAATCCCAGTGACTTGGGAAACAGGCAGGAAAATCAAGAGTTCTGAAGCTAAGCTACACAACTTGGTGAGACCCTCTCTCAAAATAAAAGGACTAATGATATAGTTCAGTGGTAGAGCACACTTGGATTCAATCCCCAGTACCACCAAAAAAAAAATTGTTATAGAGATGATGGTGGTTATACAACGTGATAAATGTATTTAACCCATTAAATCTCAGATTTTCAGTTCTGTGAATATTTGAATGAAACTGACACAGATAAATTCAGACATGTTCAAAATCATAAGCTAGAGATTATATATATTATTAATAAATATTATAATTATACTATAATTGTATATTATTGTTATGTGATTATATTGTGTAATTAGGTTACATATTATACACTAAATATTTAAGTTTTTATGTTGTTTCACATCTAGATGATGGAACAAGAGCGTTAATACCACTGAACTGTATACTTAAAAATTATTAATATAGTAAATTTCAAAGTGAAGGCCAGGCGCAGTGGCACAAGCCTATGATCCCAGCAGCTTGGGAGGCTGAGGCAGGAGGATCGCAAGTTCAAAGCCAGCCTCAGCAAAAGTGAGATGCTAAGCAAATCAGTGAGACCCTGTCTCTGAATAAAATACAAAGTAGGGGTGGGGATGTGTTTCAGTAGTCAAGTGCCTCTGAGTTCAATCTCCACTACCCCCACCCCCCAAAAAATTTTTTTTGGAAGGTAAAAAGACACAAAATAGTGTACATTTACCTCCCTACAGGAAACCATTGTTTCTAGTTTTTAGCTGACCTTTGCAAAGATATTCTTTGCATATGCAAACAAACACATACACTTTTTTAAATATTTGTGTAAATATTTTTACACAAATCATAACATACTGCATACACCATTAAGTAATTTGCATCTTTTACATAATAATATTTTGTAGCTGTTCCTTATCAATTAAGAGATTTTCATTCTTTTAAAATCTCTATATAGAATGTATTGAAAGGTTATACCATAATCTTGTTAACCAGCTTTGTATTGACAAACTTGTAGGTTTGTTACCAGACTTTTCTTATTATAAACAATGCTACATTGAATATATAGTTTAAATTTTAATGGGAAAATTATGGCTATTTTCTCTCATTCAGTAATGTGCATTTTGAATGAATTTTTTCAGACTTCTACAATGATAAGCAATGTAAATTTTAACCTAAATTATGTAAAAGGATGCTTGATGGGGCTGGGGTTGTAGCTCAGTGGTAGAGCGCTTGCCTAGTATGTGTGAGGCACTGAGTTCAAATCTCAGCACCCCATATAAATAAACAAAATAAAGATCCATTGACAACTAAAAGTATTTTTTAAAAAGAAGATGCTTGATGATTATCAAAATATCACCTGTTTTTTAGCCAGGCATGTGGCACACATTCCTATAATCCCAGAGTCTCAGGCGGCTGAGACAGGAGGATTACAAGTTCAAGAGCACCCTCAGCAACTTCAGTGTGATCCTAATGATGTTAGAGAGACCCTGTCTCAGCTTAAAACGTAGGTCTGGGGATATAGCTCAATGGTAGAACACCCCTAAGTTCTATCTCCAGTACCTTCCTCCTGCCAAAAAAAAAAAAAAACTTAACATTTGAGAAGGAAAAGGAATATGTTGTTTTGTGTTTGAGGTTAATCTGTATCACTATAATTGAAGGCTCAAATTTTTGTCTACAGGTGTTTTTTGGTAAAGAATGTGACTAGAAACAATAGTTCTCTCATCTATGTTTATAATTTTTGGGGTGTACCTGGTCCTGGGAATTGAACCCAGGGGTGCCCTATCACTGAACTAATCCCCATACCTTTTTTGTTGTTGTTGTTCTTTTTTTTTTTTTTTTTGTAGTTGTAAACAGAATGCCTTTATTTGTTGATTGAACCCAGTTCCTTGCACATGCTAGGCAATGCTCTGCCACTGAGCTACAGCCCCAACCCCCTTTGTTATTTTTTATTTTGAGACAGAGTCTTCCTGCTGACCTGGAACTTGGGATCCTCCTGCCTCAGCTTCCCAGGTTGCTGGGATTACATACATGTACATCACATCCAGCTATATTTATGATATTTATTTTAAATCTTTGAAAAGTCATTGCCACATAAAAATAATTTTTGACTTTTGCTTTGTGTGTGTGCTATGGTAATCTTCTATAGTTATAAATAGATGAATCAAAATGCACTCAAGAAGTTGTTTTTGTTTTTTTAAAGAGAGAGAGAATTTTAATATTTATTTTTAGTTTTCGGCAGACACAACATCTTCATTTGTATGTGGTGCTGAGGATCAAGCCCAGGCCACACGCATGCCAGGCGAGCACGCTACCACTTGAGCCACATCCCCAGCCCTCAAGAAGTTTTATGTGCTGGTTTTTCTCTGCTTCAGAGTTTGTACTTGGTCTTAACTTGTGTCAGTAATATTTAAGCCAATGTCTGTTAACTACAAGTGGCACATGCCCATAATTACAACTGGACAACTTAAGCAAGACCCTGTCTCAAATTAAAAATGGCTCAGGATATAAAGCATATCTGCATTCAATTCCCAGTATCAAATTTTAAAAATTAAGTCATAGACCAAAAATCAATATCTTTTCTACACTCGGATACTTAGTATGATTGTGTACTCTGTTCCCTTCTATGCTAAGGACCACCATGTTAAATGACTATAAAATCACAATAAATGTTTTAGTACTTCTGTTGATATGCTTCTTTGAACAGGTTTATGACTCTTATACTCATTGCCTGAACTGCAGAATCAGAATCTGATATCATTGAAACATATTGGCTTATTAAGTGGTTTGCTTTAGTGTTTATATTATTAAATCGTAGATTCTGTTCATCTTATGTATGAACTTGTTAAAACTCCATGCCACTTAAGGATATCTCATTTAGTCTTTCACCCATATAGCAGCATCTTTATTTCTTTTTTTTCTTTCCCATGTTTTTTATTGGTACATTGTATTCAACATAATAGTGGAATTTACTATATAGTCACACATAGAGATTATATAACAATAATTTGGTCCATATTGTTCCCCAGTTATTTCCCCTTTCCTCTTCCCTCCCCCTGGTCTCTTTCCTCTCCTCTATTGGTCTCCTTTTCATTTCCATGAGACTATCACCCCAGCAACATTTCTGTTTCTGAATCAATACCCAAAACATTCAGTTTTGGATAAACTCAAATTAACATATTGTTTTCTTTCCTTATAAGGAAAAGCACTTAGTTGAACAATGATATTATATTTATAGTTAAGTAAATAAGACCCTGAGAGGTCTTTCAGGAAAGAAATTAACCATAATTTTGTTTTCCTCAGGATTGGAACGCGTGACTATGCTGTTTTTGGGATTGCATAATGTGCGTCAGACCTCGATGTTCCCTCGTGACCCTAAACGACTCACTCCTTAAAGCCACCATGCTCCTTACTCTTTTCAGGAAGTTACTATTAATCAGGTTGTACCTTAGGTACTTAAAATATGCAATAGGATAATTGTCTTATCTAAAGTGCCACAGTTGTTTTTTAATTAATTCAGTATAGGTTAATTTAGAACAGAAGATTTTTATAACTTCAGACATACTTCAGTAGGAAATGCTTGAACATTTTAAAAAGAAGTTCATATAGTTTATTAAAAATCATATTCCATTACTACAATAAATGTTAACAAGAGTTTTGAACAGTTATGATTGTGAACATTTTTTTCTGTTCTATATTACGGTGGCCCCAGTATTAACATCTTAAATTTTCAATATTTGAACTTACTTTTTTAACTTTTGACATTAAGAACAATTGGAAAAATACCCAAGATTTTAACAAGTATATAACTGGCATCTCATGAAAAATTAGTATCAATTCTTAAAAGTTATATCCAGAAATCATGTAAAGTGGGTAAAAATACTAACTAGAAAATAATCAAAATAATGCTATATTAAATTGTTAAATGCTGGGCTGGGGATGTGGCTCAAGCGGTAGCGCGCTCGCCTGGCATGCGTGCGGCCCGGGTTCGATCCTCAGCACCACATACAAACAAAGATGTTGTGTCTGCTGAAAAACTAAAAATAAATAAATAAATAAATATTTTAAAAAAAAAAAAAAAAAAAAAAAAAAAATAAATTGTTAAATGCTAAGCCTGAATTTCAATAAAATTTAAAGCTAATTAAAGTTTGTATTTGTGTAACTTTGTGGCATTCTGATTTTATAACTTGTTCCTGGCATTTTTACTTCGGTGAAAGAAAAAAAATACTCCATAAGTTTAAGTGAATGCTTAGAAACCAATGAGAACTGATTTTTTTGTTTGCAGTGTATAAAATGCACTTCCATCTTGCCCACCAAAAAGAAATCTCTGTGTAAATATTACAATTAGGAACAGTTTTCTTCTAGGTTATTATATGTATCAGTGCTAATGTTAATTTTACCATAAACAAAAGTAAAACAATGTAATACAAGTATTTCTTATAAAGAAAAAAATAATATGCAAGTAAAAAAGAAGGCCAAAAAGATGGGAAGTTGCCACTAGCCCATAAACAACTGCCCATTATTTTCAGAAATTAAAAGGAACATTGATTTTCACCATCTAGATCAAGAACTCTTTGAAAAATAGAAACTCAATTTTTTTTTTTTTTTGAGAGAGAATTTTAATATTTAGTTAGTTAGTTTTCGGTGGACACAACATCTTTGTTTGTATGTGATGCTGAGGATCGAACCTGGGCCGCACGCATGCCAGGCAAGCGTGCTACTGCTTGAACCACATCCCCAGCCCGAAACTCAATTTTTATATCTTTTTTTCATATCACCTTGCAGTGTTTCATAAATTAATTGGCACCAAAAATAAAATGTACTGCTACCCACTGGTTTTTATATTTTTCAGACCCTAAAATAATACAATAATAATAGCCCTAACGCCAGTGTTTTCAATTTCATATAATTACAGCTTCTTTCAAAATAAATTATTTGTGAAGTCTTAAAATAATAACTTTTTATTTATTTTTATTATGAAATATTTCAGACTTGCCAGCCAGGTTATACCATGATAAAATACCCTATTCTCAACATCCAGCCTTGTTGAATATTAACACTGTCTTATTTGCCTCAAATATTTTCAGTTTTTTAAAAAAGGAAAAGAAATTATGTATACAGTTAAGGCTTCTTATGTTTCCTCCTACCATATAGGTAACTACTGAAAGAATTCAATGGCTTCACCAAGTTTTTAGATTTTTAACTAAATGTGTTTCTGTAAGCATCTAGTATTGTTTTGCAGGTTTGTTTTATATGTTGATTCTGGGATTTTTATTCGAATTATCAAGAGGAAAGGTTATTGTAAGTATGGTGAAATCAGGTAATTATTCTTTTTAGTCTCCCAGAATGTGGTATATACCTCTTCATTTTTTGGTTTTCTTTCCTTTTCTTAATTGTAGTCCCAGTTGTGTCCAAATTGAAGAGTCTTTATTTAGCAGGCTAGCTGACAACTGCTCCCCACAGGATTCATAACTGTCTCTGCAAGGAACAGCCCAAGCTTGAGCATTTTAGGATATTTAAAGACAAAAACCACATCAGGGTTGACATAGCTGCAAGCCAGCAGGTAGGGAAGCTGAATTGATTGTAGCGGGACAATGCAATGGGTACATTGGTATTTCCCACGGAACTTTCCAGGATGTCATAGCAGCAAGCAAGCAGAAGGGAAGTGGGTCAAAATGACCCTAGTTCAGCACAAGTTAGAGAATGGTTACTAACGTCTAGACAGTCAATCTCTGACAAGGTACATTGCCCAAGAAAAATGGAAATCAAAGAGAACAATTTAACATTGTATAAAAGAATTGCTATTTTGTGTTGCCAAGTATGCTATGCTAGGTAACTATTAATGGGTACAGAGGCAGGGCTTTCCCATGGGAAAAGCATTTCTTACATGATATGGAGTCTCAGGGTAAAATGGAGTCTGTTGGTCATTGCCCATATAGCCTGGCCCATAACAGTAGTAAAACATTTTGGTATTTTATATCCCTCAAAATGGTTTTTTTTTTTTTTTTTCCTGTTTATTTGCTTATTGTTTGTTATTTACTCCCTTAGGGATTTCATTGGCATTTTCAAAATTATGAAAGAATTCCGTGTTGCTGGGCATAGTGGCACACACCTTTAATACCAGCCTGAAGAAAAAAAAAAATTAGTTCTGTTAATGCTAAAGTCAAGCATCCAACTGAAGCATATTTAAGTAATTACTCAAATGAGGGACATAGCATGAATTATGAACTTGTTGAAAATTTCAGTTATTGAAAGGATAAAGAAATTGAGTGTTGATCCAATCTGGCTGCTTCCAACTGAGAATAGGAGAAATGGGGGCAACCCTCCTTACAGAGTTCTATAGTAGAGCATGGAGACCTTGGTGGAGAGAGGTGTCGGGGAAGGGACCTTGGAGGTCATCTAAAGCCAAGTTCCCCTTTGTGGTCTCAGTGAGTCAGAAGGTGAGCAGGGGAATAACATCTGTCCATGTGTTTGGGAAGCAGCTGGAGCTGGGCATATTGTTCCTATATGAAATTAATAATAGGCAGAGGAAAGGTTATTGTAAGTATGGTGAAATCAGGTATTTATAAGACAGGTGACAATTAATTGATTTGCTATTACTAAGAAAATAATTCCAGCAAGTAATACAGTTGGGACCCTATTGTCCTTAGTTAGGGACATAAACCCTACTCAGATTTATGATTCCAGAAGTGTAGGTTATTCGGAGCATAGCAAGCATGATTAACTGTGGAATCCTAGTTTCTGGAGTTTTAATCTCCATTCTGCTTGACAGATTATGCAAAATAAGAACAGAAACAAAATTTAACAGTATAGTTATAGGTAATAATTCAGTTACATGTATAGAAAAGTATTTAAAAGGGTTCAAAGAAAAAATTACTTAAGTTAAACTGCCCCAAACTTCATTCAGCCATCTTTGTTTCCACTGTTTCTGGTCCGAGGTCACTAATTGTGAAATTAAAGATGATATGCAGAAAACACAGAAGAAACAGATTTGGGTGGGGATTAACTCAATGAATGTCCCTTGAAGCCAAAGATCCCAAATGAGGTCTAATGCTTGAGGAGGACAGAAATGAAGGAGGAGTGAATATAATAAATTTAATTAGTCTCTGAGGGCTATTAAAAAAAGTCAAAAGGAGGCCTCAGAAAGTATTATTAGGAACTTCAGATGTAAGGCTCAGCAGCTTCCTCGGGAATGGCAGGAAATTTGATGGGGCCTGTTAGAACTTAGGGGACAGGTCTGGGCCAGAATGTACTAGCAGGAATGAGTTTTAAATTGCTTAGGTGGACCCAAGAGGAGTGGCCTTCTAATTTGGCTGCTGTGGGAGTGCTTAAAATGACCTTGAAGTGGGGGGTGGGAGCTGTCCACTTTTCTTATAAGGGAGCTACAGGTTGGGAAGGGGAGAGGTGAACTAAATCTGCAGTAAAAGGAGGGGGGGGCCTGAAGATTAGGGCTAGGGAAGATGTGTGTGGGCATACTTCCAGAGGGTAGTCCTGAGGTGAGCTATGAAGGGTTTCTGGACATCAGGAGGAATACTAGGTGACTGTATTGAATGGTGGGTGGGAGGAGGGGTCATCCATAGAGAAGTTCAAAGGGGCTGATCATAAGGGACTTCTTGGGCAATGCTCAGATCCAGAAAGCCAAAGGGAGGAGCTTAATCCAATCCAAGTGAGTGTCTATAGATAATTTGGTTAAGGTTGCCTTCAGGGTCCTACTTATCCTTTCAACTTTTCCTGAGGGCTGTGGATGATAGGGAATGGGGGAGTTATGAGGCAATTGAGTTGGTATGAGGAGTTTGGCCTGTAATAAACAATGGGCTTTAAACCTTTGAGGGTTAAAGGATATTGGGGGAGGATTACATAATGAGTAGAGTCTTTCAGTTGGATATGAACTTGAGAATGGTGACTGGCTATTTTGGGTTGAGAAGAATTCCAGACTGTTAGTCTGGTTAGTCACAGCAAGTAAGAGGCATTTTAGGAGGCTTAGGGGGACGCTGGGACAAGTCTGGGCCAGAATGTACTAAAAAGATGGTAGTGGACTTTAAAGAAGGATTGATAATGGAGGCTTTTAATTTGTGAAGGAGATCTCCACCCAATAGGGGGACAGGGCAACTTGGTAAAACTCTAAAGGAATGGGATAATTAAAGGGATCAAAATATACAAAAAGGAGGGGGGTCTGCAGTGGATATGTCAGGGTCCCTGAGACTCCCATAATTGGGATTTTTTTGAGTTTATTTTTTAGTTATATATGGACACAATACCTTTATTTTATTTTTTATGTGTGCTGAGGATCAAACCCAGTGCCTCACATGCTACACGAGCACCCTACCTCTGAGCCACACCCCAGCCCCCATAATTGGGATATTTGATTTAAAAGTAAATCCATGCCATTTAATCAGGAGCAAAAGACTTGCCCCACTATCAACCACAAATGAGACTGCATGGCCATTCACCATCCATGTGACCCTGGGCTCCTCAGATGTGCCATCTGAGATGGCAGGGACAATAGAGCCTGGCCCCTCCATTCCAACAACTCAGTGAATGGGACTTGGGGATCAGGTGGCTGTACTGGGGGGAGGGGTGTCCTTTTCTGGGGATATTCTACCTTCCAGTGTTCCCATCGTCTACAGTTGGGACAGGGTTTGGAGGGGGGATTTGGGTTAGGGCAGTC